GTCTCTCTGGGTTCTTTTATCTTCCTAGGAGTGTGTATCTTCCTGACAGCTTTCTTGTAAATTAAGGGTCCCTTAATTTTTTTTATTAAATTTAAACTTTTTTTTTCAGTTGGAGTTTCAATAGATTTAATGCCTCACCCCCCCCCACCCCCAGGGGAAGAACTAAAATAATAGTCCAATCTAATACCGTTATAGAGACTGAATTTTAATTTTGCTGCCTTCTGAAGTCATTAATTTTTTTTATTAAATTTAAACTTTTTTTTTCAGTTGGAGTTTCAATAGATTTAATTCCTCCCCCCCCCCCCCCACCCCCAGGGGAAGAACTAAAATAATAGGCCAATCTAATACCGTTATAGAGACTGAATTTTAATTTTGCTGCCTTCTGAAGTCAGAAATTTCAACATTGTATGATAAAACTTACAATAACTGACATAATTTTAATAGCAAAGTATAATAGGCCTATATGACAAAAAGTAACAGTGGTTAATTTAAAACTTGTCAAATTTAACATTGCAACTTCCCCCACACCTTTTTTTATTATTCCTAATAGAGACGCCAACATCGTAACATTTTGCACAAGGGTGAACGTAGCAATTAAAATAATTACCGAGGAATTTCTCTTCTTAGCTTAGTTGGAAAGACGTGTGCCCGTGTCGCCCTTAAACGATAGTAGAGTCTGACTAACCGCATTTACGCAGAGGCTCAGTGTGGCTTCCGAAGTGATCGTCAAACTACTGAGATGAAATTCTCGTTATGCCAACTGCAAGAGGAGTGTTTTGAACAGCATAGGTCTCTTCGCATTGTCAGATATGACAAAGGCATTCGACTTGGTAAACTGTTGTGGCCTGTTCAGTATCTTGCTTAAAATAGGTAGTCCCCACTACTGCCTACAAACATTAGTACAGTTATCTCATGAAAGTATGCACAGTGTAGTGACCTTTAATAGCGCGGTCTCTGATGCATGTCCAGTCAACAGCGGAGTAAAACAAGGCTGCGTAGTGGTACCAATGCTCTTCTCCATTTTCTTCTCAATGTTTCTCCGGTTTGCCTTCAGGTACTTTGAAGACAGAGTGTACATCCATACTAGATCTGACGGTCGGCTGACCAATATCGTCCGCCTTCGTGCAAAGACCAAGGTAAAAAGGGTACTAATTCGTTAACTGCTGTTCGCTGACGATGCCGCCTTACCATAGCACACATAAAAAGGTCTTCGATGGTTAGTTAATCGCCTCTCACACACATTCAAAGAGTATGCACTGATCATTAATCTACCGTACCAAAAACAAATTTCATGATGCAAGAAGCACATTCCCCTCCAAATCTAACTATTGAAGGACATAATATGTCGGTAGTTGACAATTTCACATACCATGGAACCAACATCTCTATAAGTTCACTCTGCGTTAAAAGATGAAGAAGTAAATATCAGGATCGCAAAAGCAGCAGCAAATATGGCTAAATTGTATAAGCGGGTGTGGAATAATCTTAAACTAACTCAAAGCACAATTCTAAGCGTCTACCAGGCATGTGTGCTTAGTAAGCTACTATATGGAAGGGAAGTTTGGACCACATATTCTAGTCATGAGCTGAAACTCAGCATTTTTCATCCAAGATTTCTGCGTTGCTTTTTGCGCAATCGATGGCAAGACAAGGTGCTTAACACATAGATTTGGGAACGTGCCGAAATGTATACCATATTCTCCGCTCTTAGTAAGAGGCACCTTCGCTGCTTAGGCGATGTAAGGAGACTAGAGGAAGGATCTGCTGTACGGAAAGTTGGAAAATTGGAAAGTAATGGACGACTGCAGATGAGATTTAAGGACGTTTACAAAAGGAGCATGAGGGACGCCAACATAGAAATCAACGAATGGGAGATCATAGCTCAGAACAGATCCAACTGGAGAACAGCAACGTACTAAGGGGTCAGAAGACAGAAGATGCGCAAAACGAAGCCCTTGCTACAAAAAGAGCATTATTAATTCCATTATGGAAGGTCACATTTAACAAGGAGTCAAGGGTTTCCTGCGAGAAATGCAGTAGAAACTGACATTCCAGAATCGGCCTCGTAAGCCATTGGAATTTGATGAAATGTCCATAGCTACTCTTTCGTCTCGCGAGGACGGAGGGTGTCATATATAATAATAATTATATATATATATATATATATATATATATATATATATATATATATAT